TCCTTCCTTCCCGTTCAGGCTCCAGCAACTTGCGGAGGCCTCACCACTTGAATTGTCCTACAAGGGCAAAAGAACGTCTCCAATGATTTAAGCCAAACAGCAACATGCTGGCTCTAAGAAAGCTGTCAAGCTGTCAAGACGGCCTCCGTGTGACTGGCACCTGTCTCGGACAAACAGGTCAAGCAAAGCATGCAAATCACAAATCACCGTCTTTTTTGGAGGCCGTCGCTGGTAGGTTGGAGGCCATCGCTTCACGTTTTGGACGCTCCAAGAGAGTTCAGAGTGCTGTCATAGGATGACGCCCATCATGTGACTGTGATGCTCCGAGTCCACTCCCATCCGGCCTGTATTGGCTGCACCGGGTACGGCCCAGGCACCGGTATGTCAATTCGTGGGGATGAATGCCCTTGTGGGTAGGGCCCTGGTGGGCGCATCCTCGGCTCCAAGAATGGAACCCGGAGCGGGAACCCATCCATGGCTGTTAGGTTGGAGGCCATGGCTAGTAGGAGCAAGGACGCTTACTAGGGGCTCCTGGCCTGGGAGCAAGAAGCTACTAGGAACAAAGCAGAACAAAGGGCATCGCAACTAGGACCTAGGAGCAAGGACGCTACTAGGTTGGAGGCCATTGCTAGTAGCTTGGAGGTCATCGCTCTTAGGGGCAGTATGCGATAGGGATAGCAATGCCCATCCAACACCAAAGGCTGCCTTTAAACCACCCTCTTCTTTCTTTTCCACGGCACTTCTCAAACCAAAAAGGTGATCATGAATAACAACCAAGACGCTGCTGGAGGAGTTGCTGAACTTGCTGGTGCGACTGCAACAATGGCTGTAACATCCTTAGCACTTTGCCCAAAATCATTGCAAGAACAAGAAGCTACTAGGGGCTCCTGGCATCGCTACTAGGAGGAAGGACGCTACTAGGGGCTCCTGGCCTTACTACTAGAAACAAGAAGCTACTAGTTACTAGTAGCAAGGACGCTACTAGGTGGAGGCCATCGCTATTAGGCACAAGAAGCTACTAGGCCATCCCACTGCGTTGCAAACTGCCAGACCGCATTTCCAGAGGCCCAGGCTGATTTGCAGATGCTAGCTGGGCCTCCAGTCGCCTGACAAAGGGCAGTGGCGACATCGATGACTGCAAGATGGCCTCCAACCTATTAGCGATGGCCTCCAACACTAAAAGACATGGACATTTTGCGTGGGTTAGTTGTAACTTGTACCTGTGTGACACTGTGTGTCTGTTGCGGGAAGGGGCTCTCAAAAATGCAAAGTTCAGGAAACGGCTTGCTCAAACGGCGCCACAGGTGCTGAGAAACGAGCCAACGCTGTAAACCTTGCTTTCATAAGAAATGCTTAAGCAAATCGGGTCTCTTTGGACAGTTTGTCCATGCTTCTCGGGTGGAAAGTGTGGGAGAATGAGGGACCGCACCAGGTGTGAGCAAAGGAGGTGGCTGGTTCGTTGGTAAGAATGGCCCAAACATGGAACCGGCGCAAGGCATCCCGTGGTATCTTCCAACTCGGAAGGTCCATTCACCTCACAACCTCCACCAAGGAAACCACAGGACCACAACCACCAGAGCTAGGACAGCTAGGAGGACACATTGGAACACCACGAGCCCCAACACTGGTCCTAATTGGTGTGTACCGACTGTGCATATACTACCGATCTGGCACGTGATGCAATGACTGCTTCCACATTGACATGTGCACAGGCATGTGTAGTGACATGTGCGTGCTGACGCTTTACTTCTCATGTGCTGACAGCAATGTACTGACAGTATGATACATATATATATATATATATGTGCAAATAGCGGAAGTATGGCAAACTGACGTATAGGTACAGATGTCTTAATATGTGCAGGTGCATGTGCCGCACATGTAAGGTGCTTGACACAACATGGGGCAGAACGTGGCTTGGACTGTGAAATCGCAGGCATGCGATGCCGCGCGCAGTGTGAGTGGTCTGTGGTGAGTTGGGTGAGGTCCGGCCAGGCACCTGCAAACGGGTAGAGTGGGAAGTGTCGTCGGGAGAGTTTACAAACGAACAGCAAGAACGCAATTTAACATCATCAAAGTTGGCATCAGCTGCGGCCCAAAGCTTGCGGGCAGCTGCGTGGAGGCCAGGGCTCTGCACATGGCTGTGAAACTCGGAATCTGCAATTAACATTATGAACAGTTGCCGAGCAAAGCATTAAAGTAAGAAAGGCACTTTCATTCCATGCATAAGGATACTTGTTGGAGGACACATGCCTACACTCCCAGCTCATCTGGATAGTATTAGCAATGTAATCGACTACCGCACCGTTGTGCGAGTACCCTTTCACGCACCAGCCGAACCTTTTTTGGAAAGAATTTCGAGGGACATCCACCGGCTTGCCAAGGCAGTGCCAAAGTGGGCCAAAACCAACTAAATTATGTAGACAATATGTCGCTAAAAGAGCACTTAGTGCAATGTAAAAACGTATATCTGCACATAGGCCGGGGCTTGTGGGCCGATGTATTTCAAAGCCAATGTCGACGGTTTCCTTATGTCGGAACCCATTGACCCGACCGCTGCGAATGGGTGGCAAGTTGGTGTTGATTCATATGATATGATAAGCTCATACTAGGGTGGAGGCCATTGCCACTATGGTCCTTTCATTGGGTGACCTTATTGCAAACGAAGGCATGGCCGGCAGGTTGGTTTGCGCTTGGCAAGTGCCTGGGAACAACCAAGCAGGCTCCGCTACCACCATTGATGCAGTTTCGAGAGAGTGGTTCGCGCAAGCGTGAGGCACCCGTGACAGTTGTGCACAGTGTGAGGCGTCCAAACAAGGGTTGAAGGGCTTGAGATTATAGATGAATTTTATAATAGTAGCAAGGTGCCTTATTAGTAGTAACAAGCTACTAGTAGTAAGGCACCTTGCTACTACTAGCTTCTTGCTTCTAGTAGCAAGGTGCCTTACTGTCCTTACTACCACTCCAAAAAGGCCAAAGAGACCAAAGGGCCCTCTACACATCGGAGTCCCAGCTTGAACGGCTGCTTCTCGCTGAGTGGAGAGCAACTTCTGTGGCAATGGCAAGTGTGGATGCATCACCACTACACCGGCAGCTACTGCAAATCACATGCGGCGTGGGATGTGCGACTCCGCCAGAAGCTAGTCTAGTAACTAGTAACTACAACACACTCCAAAGCTCCAACCTAATTGCGATGGCCTCCACGCTACGAGCAATGGCCCCCAACCTAATAGCGATGGCCTCCAAAGCCTGAATTCAGAACTTGCTTCAAACTACAGAGTCAATTTGTTTCCACTTAAAGGGTTGTGAGGGCAAACTTCACAGCCGAGGTGGACACGAACGTGTTCTCACAAGGTGTGAGTTGTGTCAAGCTTGGCCAAACAGCCCTGGCTAGGATTAAAACCAGCCTCAAATATGCACATAATTGCACGTATATCATATGTCATCATATATTGTGAACACACTGCCTTTTACACCACATTAATGTCGCCTCTGTGCATTCCTTTTGCGTGTCGTACTGCACGAGATTCATTTTGTCCCTAACTCGGCAGTTTCTCAAAAACGAACGCTTGATCTGAATCGAACCTTTCTTCGGAGTGACTCTTCAAGGAAGCTCCCCACCCTCGCCAGCGGGTGGGGAGCTTTCTTGAACCCAGTGCATTTTTGGCTCATTTTGGCTATTTCGTGGTTTTCAACCAAACTGAACCGGAGCAACTCATTGAACCGGCGGTGCCTAGACTGTTCTTCTAGCTGCTTGCGCACGGCGGTGGCTCTAGCCTTCAGCTCGGGACATCTGAGTGAAGGCCAGGTGTCTAGTAGCGATGCCCTTGTTCCTAGTAGCTTCTTGCTACAGCCTTTCATTAAACCTTTAAAACACCTCCCCATCTTTGGACTGTTCTGCCTAATTTATATATTTGCAAAAAACTCTACTGCCAAATTGGACTTCCAATGCTGGCCGTGGCTGTTTACGCTCCTCAGTACGATGCTGCCTTTCTGCCACTTTGGGTCTGCAACTGCTTAGCATGAATTACCACGATAGACTATAGATCTGTACATTGATCAAAAGCAAGATTCAAACATGACATATGCATGTTGTGCAAACGTGACTGTATGATGCAACATTGTGACATCTACTGAGTTCCACTCAGTGACCCTGGGCAACCCTTTCCGTGGCTTGCAGGGGGCATGGGAGTATAGAGCGCAAGATGTAGCAAGGAATCATTCTAAGCTGCCCATCTTTCGCAGCGTTTGGGTTTTAATTGCATGTAGCAACGCCAGGTGTCTCCACAATCTCGTGAAGCTCAGCTCCGCAAAGCCCAACCATTCCATTTCCATGCCCATAGTCCCTGGTGGCACATGAGATTTCCCGAGAATTGAACCCACTCGACCTGAAAGGACCAATGTTTTCCGTGCGATCCCCAAAGAAGTGGACACGCTCCGGGGCAAACTTGATGCCTTTCTTCTTGTACCACGTGACAATGTCCTGGACAGCCTTGGCTGGGCAAGTCGCCTCATGTTGCCTCGCAGTCCGCATTCTATAGGCGCACATTACTCGCAAACTGACAAACAAAAGGCAAAGCATAGAGTAGGAACATTTCGTTTTTGGTAGCGTTCATGTTTGCAGCAAGGGGTAGTTCAAAGACCCACAGCCCTTTTTGCAAATTCAGATCCTTCTATTGAGCCTGCCAAGCAGCATCTTGTTTCAACCTATCTGGCCACTTTAATACCAACGGAGATTTCACTTGGCGACGTCTGCGGGACCATGATGATGCTTGAGGCTCTCTTTGTTGAAGTTTGGTAAAGGGCTCGCTCTTGAGAACATGCTTCAGCAAATAGCGCCGTTCAGCAGAGCCATCGCCACTAGCAGAACCAGCGGAAACAACTCCCAAGTAGCAAGAGTTGCAAAAGGTCTTCTCCAAATTCTGGCCTTCACAGGGAGGTTCCCTATAGTGCGTCACGATGCCGCTCGTAACAAACCCGTCGCAAACTGTAAACGACAATTGAACATGCCCTTTGGGGGAGGTCATCGCTAGTAGGCTGGAGGCCATCGACTGTGTGGATGGGATGAGTGATGTTCTTGAACACCAGGACACTTTCAGAAAATCACCTACGAATTCGAAACGGATGTATTCGTGTATAGTGTATACTGGTCCAACAATGCTCAAATTCTCAGCAGTGCAACATGGACTCCACTCAAATATCTCTAAACCCTCATATTGATGGTGCGTTCTAGTACAAAATGTGCCTACCATCTGCTGTAACAGTTTTGTTGCAGATTGTCGCACCCAAACTGGAATCGCATCCTACAAAGTTGTTATACAGCTAGCTGATAGCCGTTGTGAACACACACGGTCTTCCACGATCCATGCCTGCTTCTGACAATGTGAGCCAGCCACCGGAGTAGGCTTTATCCCAAATATGGTCTATCTTCTTGTTGGCTGGACAGGCTGACCAACGGCCAGATATTCCTTGCTTGCCAGTCAAGGTCCGATCAATGTCAAAGACACACAGGCAGTTGGAAGGAGGCGCTGGCACTGGTGGTCGGTCCGGTACTGGTTGGTCCCATGGTGGCCTTTGCATAGCATTGCAAAGCTGTATGCCGGAGGTCTCGACGATTTCCGCCGCAGTGCCACCGCAATAGCCAACGATACCACCTTTACTGGTATCACCTGTCAGTCAGGTCGGCTACAATACACAAAATGGTCGACGTATACCAGCGAATCTCAAGAAGGGAATGCAAACAGGAGGCAAAGAACTTGTCGAATTTACACATTCCCTCAACAAAGCCTGAATTCACCAAGTTCCGAGATACTGAGATCATCTGAGTTACGGGAGAAAGGAAAAAGGACGAAGGAAACATAGCTGGTTGCATACTCACACACTAAAGGGAAACTGTGGCATGCACATGACTGAATTGTCAATCTGAAACAACAGCGCAATGACAGCATGACAACACAAGAGCTACTAAGTAGCATTGGCGAAGATCAACACCAGTTTCACACCACATCGGATGCTTCAGCTTTTATCATTCTTCAGGGATTCAACAGCGTCTTGAAGCTGTTAAGGCACGTGAGGCACATGAGATCTCGCGAGCATTGAAGCCTTTGGATGCGAAGGGGCCAATGTTCTCCGTGCGGTCTCCAAAAAAGAAGACCTTTGATGCAGGGATGGCAATGCCCCTCTGAGCATACCAGCTCAAAATGCCTTCCACTGCATCCTGCTTCTTCTTATCCTCCCAAAGCAGAACGAGAGGCGAGTTCACGGTCCGATAGGACCAAACAGTCGCATCGGTATCTTGGGAGCGAAGCTGAGAATACGGAATGCTCTTGAGCACGTGCTCCAGCAAGAAGTTCTTCTCATCCGAGCCGCTGGCCGAACCAGCTGAAACAACGCCCAGGTGGCACTGGTTGCAAAAGGTGTTCTGCAGGTTCTGTCCCGCGTCAGAAATGGTCAAGGGTCCTGGACCATAGGCATAATCTGTAATGCTGGACACTTCATAGTTCTGTGGACAAGCATTTCCTGCTGTGCCCTGTTTGCCGGTGAGCGTGCGGTCAATGTCGAAGACACACAAACAGGTGGAGGGCCCAGGTGCCGATGATGAAGGTTCCGAAGTTGAAACGGAAGTTGAAGGGAAGGATGAGAAGGTTGTTGAGCCGATCTCGTGGGTGGGGTCGTAGCAATAATCAAAGCCTTCGACACCCAAGCCCAGGCAACCTGGCACTTGTTCAACACCATCTCGCTGAAAGCAACGAAGGCCTTCTGCACAATCCTCGTCGGAGTCGCAATCACCGGAGCATTCTGGCATATTTACACTACCATGCGACCCAAAACTGCTGTCCAGCTCAGGCAAGCCCTCACAAGTCGGGTTGTAGCAGTAGTCCACCACGGGATAAACCTCTCCTCCATGGCATCCCGGAACTGCTTCATTCCAACGTCTTTGTTTGCACTTCAACCCAGGAGCACAGTCACTATCACGATCACAATCACCCTGGCATTCGGTCATATCCTCAGCGCCATGCCGCCCGAGAGTTACAAACTCTTTGGCGCAAGAGTTCTGATGAGTGAAACTCTTGCGCTCCGTCTTCTCCGAAAACTTTGACTGGGTGAATTTCTTTTGCAAAAGCCAATGGTCCTTGACCTTGGGGCAGCCATCCTTGGCGCAGCCATCTTCTGCTAAGGCGACTGCCAGCAAAAGCAGAATTCGAGCCATTCAAACTCAAAGAGTTTTCGGCTTTCTTGGTCTATTGAGCCAAAAAAAGGCTGCTTGGATCCTCGTTTCTTCATGATGATGTCCGCTCGCAAAAGCCTGTCTTGCAAACCTATGATTCCTGTGTCCTCCTGTCATGCCTGTTGCATGAGGAAATACGAGACTAAAGCGCGCTGAGTGTTCTGCAGTCTCTTCCTGCATTGCCTCTGACGCCACCAAGGCCTAGACAGGTTCTTTAAGACTCTTCAAGAACTTGAGTTCCCCCACCACAAGCAGCGCTTAGACTTAGACTTAGTAAAGCATGAAACAACAAATGCATGTTTGTGGCACCAAACACTTGAGTAGCTAGCTAAGAACAAGCAAACCTTACTGGTAGTAACAATATGTAACAATAAGCTATTAGAAACAAGTGCATCGCTACTAGTAACAAGTGCATCGCTACTAGTAACAAGTGCCTTACTAGTAGTAACAAAAAGCTATTAGAAACAAGTGCCTTACTAGTAGTTTTCGGTCACCGCGGTGTCGCACGAGGCCCCAGGCAGCATGGGCCGCTGTCGCCAAGCCTTCATCACCTGAGTCGAGCAGCGGCAGCTGCAAGTTTTGACAACTGAAATTCAAAAGAAAAGAAAAGAACACTACTAGTAAGGCACTTGTTTCTAATAGCTTTCTTGTTCCTAGTAGTAAGGCACTTGTTGTCTGTGCTCACTGCGCATCCTTTCAAACAGAGTCGTCCAAAAAAACCATGTATGTGCTTTCAGAACTATCTCACAACTATCTGCCGCTCTGTTTGTCGTTCTCTTCAGGGGTCTGGGGTTGTCGTCATGACGTGGATGTGTCGTGTGCGGTACCAGAGTCTCTGCTCTCCTTTGGTGCCAGCGCATCTGACCCGTTGCGCTCCTGAGACCTTTGAACCGAACCACACACGTCTGACACAACACCTGCGTTCACATGCGGACGGCGGCAAAAACAAACGAAAACCGCATGTGTTTGTTTCTGCAAAACAACGCACTCAAACAGGGAACAGGATGAAGCCACTAGTTTATGGCACAACGTTCTTGTGCCGAGGTACTAACTCCGCTGAATCTCCTCACTAGAAGCATTGAATGCTGAAATGTTCTGTGCTCTGAATGATTCGATGGAGTTGAAATCGAACACGTGACTGGGTGAGATGTCATGCTTTCGATCCCCAGCGCTTTGGAGGAAAATGTATTGCACCCGCCCCCCGTCGGAAGTGCCTTGGTTATTTCCATTTCCGAAAAGGCTCAACTAGGAACAGGTGCATCGCTACTAGGCTCAAATTCCCCGTTCTTTATACGTCACCCGTCAGACTCCTAGTAATGCCCTTGTTCCTAGTAGCTTCTTGTTACTAGTAAGGCACTTGTTACTAGTAGCGATGCACTTGTTCCTAGTAGTAATGCCAGGAGCTTCTAGTAGCGTCCTTGCTCCTAGTAGCGATGCAGGAGCCCCCCTAGTAGCGTTCTTGTTCCTAGTAAAAATACTTATCCTGACCAAACAGCTGACATGTCAGTTCGCTACTGTAATGCCGAAACGTACTTAAGCCGCATCAAAACAACTTTTTGGATCTTTTTGGATGGTATGCCTGAAGAAGTTAAAGTGCGTTCGCACATGTTGCCCTTCCTACGCCACTGAGCATCAACTTCACCCACTTAGCTTGCGGCTCACCAGGGTGCTATGGGCCTTGGGCTTCAACGGTCAAATCCGACTTTGCACAACCCAAGTACAACCAAACACTTTGTCTATGAGCCAAACCGCTTGTGGGGTGTTCATTGTAGCTTATTATATATGTATATATACATCTTGGTGATTCTTGGTGCCTGACTGTTGATGCTGATGACACACTGCGGAAGACCTCATGCCTGCAAAATTTGTTTGCTGACGTGTGTGTGTGTGTGTGTGCCGAACTGCAGCAAAAGAGCGGTGATTCATTCAACACCAGAAAACAGAAAACACAGCGAGGTGTTATAATGGTGCAGTCAACAATCTGCAAGCACGCACAGCTCTGAGACAGGTACTTGGCACTTTGATTTCCTTTTGGAACCTCTCTGGGACATACTTGTACTTCCACTTCAAATTGCTTGGCCGTGGGAGGCCCAGGGCTTGGAGGAGGAGCACTGGAACTAGGGCTGCTTGGCCAACTTGGCTGACTTGGACTTCGACTTGGGATCTCCTCGGAAGCTCGTGGCTGGGAAAGGAAGCGGCGAGGGGAATTCGCAGATCCTGGGAGCGTCTGAGATGTTGGAGTCCCAGGCGGTGAAATACGCCTGCTGCGGCTATTTAGCCGACTTTTCGAGAGAGGTGATGGACGGCCGAACATTGAACGCGGCTCGATTCGCGACTCCAAACTGACTTGATCCAAACCGACGGAAATGCAGTGTGTGCATTGCTAACTGTTGCTAACCCAACAGGTGTCTCCTTTGCAGCAAAAAAACATCGAGGTCTTCGGTCAATCTAAAATGTTTCATGTTGCGCCATGCTTAGAGTAGTAGCAGGAAGCTACTAGTAGCTCCTGGCATTGCTACTAGGAACAAGAAGCTACCAGGAACAAAGGGCATCGCTTCAAGAACTTTTTCCATCTCACCCGATCCGCAGATGGAAAAAGTGGCGGCTCTTTAAGATTGCCGACCTTCGACAGTGGCCCACCTAAATCGATGCATTCCCTGTGGCGTTTGTGCAAAGCTTTGACATGCAAGGGTAGTCTAGGCCAAATGCAAAGGGAGCAAGGAAGGAACTCGGGGTTCAAACCTCAGCTGCAAACATATGCAAACCAAGGACCAATCTGGACAAATATGGAGCTTGTCAAGCGCTTTTGATGCCTTGGGCTCAGGCCACTGAGTACGTGGGTTCGAAGAGCTTCCTGGGATAGGCAAGTGACCAAGACCTTTGGAACGCTGTTTGCGGCCGCCAACCTAGAAGCGATATAAGCAATGGCCTCCAACCCAACAGTGATCGTGGCCCCAAAGAGCGATGACCTCCACCCTAATAGCGATGGCCTCCAACCTATATTTTCACACTGATGGCCTACTGTCGCTGTTCCAGCCAAATAATTTATCTGTTTATCAGTGCATTTCGTATGCGTGGAACTTGCTCAGTGAGGGTCTTTGGCTCTCGCGACCATGCCAAGTGAGGACTTCTTTGGTGGTCCTCAGATATTTCGGGACCTATTGTGCTTCGAATAATACAAGCATTGCCCCAATGATTCAGCCTGTCACTTTGCGCATTTCGCCTTCAAGCCTTTCCTTAAGAAAATCATATTGGCTGTGCCTCCCGGTGCAGCTGAGCCAAGCGTGAAAGCCAGCAAGTGCGAGGACACATGGCAACAGCAGCACTGCCTCAGCCAGATTCAAATCGTCGTGACACACCGCTGATTCACGAGCAAAGCGACACAGGCCAACACTGAGGGCTTTGCTGGAGCCAACGCCACTAAAAGCAAAGTCAACGCCTCTTCGGGGAGGCCACCACCCTAGGACGGAACAACGTGAGAAACCAATGTTTCTTTTGAGTTACTAATAGGAATGGCCTCCAACCTACTAGCGATGGCCTCCAACCTAGGAGCAATGGTTGTTTTTTTCGGAGTTTTCTTATCTTTTCTTTCTGCATCCCACCTTCAAGTGGGCATACCAAAGGCCAATGCCAAACAGCACGTGAATGCCAAGAAACCCTACAGACCTCAGGCAACTTCACACGGAAAAAGCACCAATCCAGGCCCATCGAGCCGGTCTTGGTCTTCGACACCAAAAAACCACTGAAGAAAATATAGTTCCTGCCAAAACATATGCTAGTAGTAACAAGTGCATCGCTACTAGTAACAAGTGCCTTACTAGTAGTAACAATGTTTGCTATTAGAATTAAATTCTAAATTTTGTTTCTCAATGAACAATCTTCGGCAAATGCGAGTCCTTTGCCCAATGCAATTGTTCACGAAGGGGCAGTGATGATCAAACCTGCCCGGTGGAGTTACAGAAAGAGTTGTGCAGGAATATGTTCACAACATGAACATGTGGTCTAGGCGATTTCAGGTTTTCTGAGAACGGCACCTCAAAACACAATTGTCACAATCACGGCAATGGGAAGCTCGCGGTGGTCGAATAATCTGACACGTCTGACAGAACCTGCAAACGATGGAGGACATGTTTGTGGCATAGGCATTTAGCAAAGCCCCTAGTAGCGTCCTTGCTCCTAGTAGCGATGCGCTTTGTCATTGCTCCTAGTAGCTTCTTGTTCCTATTAGTAGTATGGACAGGAGCCCCTAGTAGCTTCTTGCTCCTAGTAGCAAAGCATGCTTCCGCACTCAGAAGGCCAGCGGCGTTGCTTTGTTGCGCCGGTCCAATTTCAACAGGTCAGTCCCCGTGCTTCGAACACCAAAGGCAAACGAGTGAGTTCCATCAGCCATCAACGGCATTTAGCATCAATCGGGGCTGCTGTCGACGTTCCAAGTCATCCCTGACTTGCAACGGCCGGGGGCTCGGACGGCGCATTCATACGGACGGCCGAAGGGGCGCCTTTGGCGCAGGCCTTGCAATATCTTTCAGAAATGTCCACTAAGCTGTGCTTTGGCACATTTTGGCACTCTTCTTGCTTTCCATAGGTATAGGTTTACAAGTCTTTCACCTAAATATCATAAATACTCTTGTTCTACGTTGTATCCAAAGCTGCCGTGGGTCTGTCAACTGATGGCTCCAAAACGTCCGATTCGACGTAATGGCATCATAAGTCGGTCCAAGAATTAAGAGTACCTCTTTAGCCTCGGCATAGTTTGAATCAATCAGCCCAAAGAAGCTCAATCTGAGCTACCAAAACCTGAAACTTTTTGTGCCCATGGCTGCACAATGATTCTGGGTTCTCAAGATTCTGCTTGGCTTTATGAGGCGCACATTGTATGTGGTCCTGCGAAAAAACTGGCCGTGCAAATGCCGCAGTTCGATTGCTGGCGACTCTGGAGTGCCGATTGCATTCCAAAACATAACGGAAGGGTAGTCACGGCTGAGGGAAGGTAGTGACCTATGGCATCCTATGGCATCCTTGCTCCTAGTAGCGATGCCCTTTGTTCCAAGTAGCATCCTTGCTCCTAGTAGTAAGGCCAGGAGCCCCTAGAGGCGTCCTTGCTCCTAGTAGCGATGCCAGGAGCCACTATGGCGCGTGACATTAAACCTTTTGTTTGAAAATAGTGTCGTAGTGCTTCACTGCGCATTTGCACCGTCGCCGTCAGTGAGACTGATAGAACAAACTCAAATGCGCTGCTCGTGGAAGTCCGTTGCCACTCTATCACTGAAAAGAGATGGGTTGTCAGAGCCTGGACAGATCATGCTTTGGTTTTCTGCCTTTGACGAGCTTGTGAGTTTCTAAGGGAACACGGCTTCACTAAAGAAGAAGAGATAAAAGAATAGGTCCCTTTGCATTGTTCTTGTTTGTCTAAATACGTTGCTACTAGGTTGGAGGCCATCGCTATTAGAAACAAAGGAAAAAGAAAAGGAATAATCCTAGTAGGGTTCTTGTTACTACTAGTAGCTTCTTGTTCTTTCGGCCTCCAAGGGCTGGGCTCCTGAGACTCTTGAGACTGTGCGATTTGCCAACCTGTGAAGAAACCTGCGAGGAAGTCGAGGTTGGTCGGACTCTCTCTCTCTCTCTCTCAAACCGGGTTCTGTTTTCCATTAAATGATATAGAGATATAATGTATAATGTATAATGATATTTATATATATATAATGTATATATAATAGTCCTTTTTACTTTGTCAGTGCAGGGGGGTAGGCCGCTATAGGAAGAGGTATAAGCTAGTTAGTAGCTATTAGGTACTGGACGCTCCTAGTAAAAGGAGCGTAGGATAGCTTACGCATGCTCACGCTTCTTCAAGCCCGCCTGAGGGGGGCAAGCTTGCTTGAAGAAGAGCTTGCACTATTCATTTGGTTCCAAACATTTCCTTCCTCTCTCTCTCTCTCTTTCGATTAGTCCTGTGGCAAACATGGCCTCACCGTCAGAGGGAGGCTTCGCTTTGGAGAGCTTTGCCTGAACCTGAAGCCGATCCGAACTATTGCCGCAAGTCGCCATCCAAACTTGCACTGAAGTTGGGTTGAACCCCTTTGGCTTTGCACGACAAATCGACACATCGAGACGAATGTCCTTGTAACATTCGTGCCTGGCCTGTGGCGCGATGTCCTGGCAAGGGATGGCTCGGAAACAATTCGTTCGATCACCTGCCTTGGTCCACCGAACTTGCGATTCCAGTGTCTCCTGATCAAAATCCTCCTGAATGCAGGCCTGGAAGAATGTGAAGCTAACACCGCTAAGAACACTGGACATTCGGCCCTTCGTCTGTGGAGAAGTTGCCGTGTTTTTGGTTGGAGGCCATCGCTAGTAGGTTGGAAGCTCTTGGTGAGCGGCAGCAAGCAGCTCGCTCATCTTCAACTCCTGTACCCGATCCAAAAATCAGCCGCCAACAAACTCGTGCTTGGGTGACATGTCAAGGCTTCTCACGGAAATTCATGGAGAGGAACCCAAACATAGTGGCCACGTTCCATTTCCCTGTTTGTTGGATAGAGTGCAATCACTAGTGCAATAACTAGTAGTTAGTAGTAAGGCCAGGAGCCCCTAGTAGCGTCTTTGTTCCTAGTGCAATCATGCCTTGCCATGCCTTGCCCCGAAGCTCGGGAAGACCTCTTGGAATGCTGAACGCACCACTGTTTCATCGCCACGCTCCTCTAACTGCTGCTGCTCCAGTGTCGACTTGTAGACAGTGGTTGTCGTTTTGTAGCTCTTGGGGTGCGTGACCTCCAAAGGATGAACCGGGCTGACGCGCCCTGTCTCAACGCCCGAAACACATTGAATTCAACACATCTCCCTCATCAGCACCAGGACTTTTTGACATTTTTTGGCTTTTCCAAGGAACAGTGCCACAGGCTGCCACACAGACTGTTTGACGATGGTTGTAAGAAAACACGACTGGTGACTAGAGTGGTTGAAGGTCTTGCATGGTCTTGCCAGGTCTGCCTCCCTTGGAAGGTCCCAAGCACATCCATGCTCATCACTGAATTCCTCGCGATAAGAACTGGGGCACAGCCGACAGCTTGCTTCAAGGGACACAAAACGAGCAAGTAAAGCAAGCAATTGAAAAAGCAAATTCATATCGGCGTTTTCTGTCGAGGCTAGCATGCAGATGCTCTTTGACATCGCGCTGTCATCAAACACACCTAGAGTTTTTGCCACTGTCTTTTACACAAACCTTGCTGCCTTTGCACTTGCAAACTCCAGTGGCAACTGGGGATAGCTCGTTAGATCCAACGCACGTGACGTCGGAAGAATCTGGGTCAAAAATGTTGCGTGGAGGAAACACAAAGGATGGACAGCCATCAAGCGGGTTCGTAGCACTGCATCTCTTCTCATAGACGCAGCATGAGGAATGCACCTGGCCGTTTTCCAGAATACAATCTTCTGGCAAAGCATGCTGGTCAGCGTAGTCCAGGGCCATCTTCAAGCACTTGATGGATTCCACAGAGCCTTGAGAGTTTGCTAGAAAACTTGCCATGATCTGGGCAGCCTGAGTTGGGTTGGAAAATGTTTGGGTCATCACTTCCTGGACAAGTGACCCACAACTCTGCATAGTGCCTCGATCTCTTCCCAGCATGGCATTTGCAAAAGATGAAAACCCCTTCGGGAACACCTTGGCGCTCTTGTTCTGCAGCTGCCGGCTGGTATGTTGCAGCAAGGAGTCTCCAGAAAGAGCGTCTTGAAGCTCATCAGCTTCAATAGCAGAGCAAGAATCCCCAAGAACACAACTGACGCATGCGGCGGCAAAAAGCAAACAAATGTGTAAGGATACCTTCGCGGTCATTGTCGTAAGGCTTTCAAGAGACAAGATCGGGCTGCACACAATCTGCACTGGCCTATTGCCAGTGAGCTTACAGGGCCAACACTGTTTCGAGCCAAACTTCACTTGCAAAGGCCGCATTTCTTCCGTGTGCTTTACTGTATAGTTAACCTCACAAGCTTGCTTCCAGAAATTTCTCTTTTGCCCAGGGATTTGGTTCTGCTCCCTTTCATCATGGCATCTTGCAAAAGAAAAATACGGAAAGCCAAAGGCCTGCAGGTCTTGAGCAAACTGCTGTGCGTAAGCTTTGGCGATCTGAAAAATGTCCTTTCAGGAAGGATTGACGCACCTAGGATCGTTTGACAGGCACAGGTTTAACATAGGAAATAAAGCAGCTTGTGGTTACATGGTCTGTTGCCACCCTTGCCCTCCTTGTACTCGGCAGTTATTTCTCGAAACTTCAAGCTGTCCAAGGTCTAAGTAAATCGGAGTGTCGAAGGCAAATTTTCAATCTATATCAATCCGTATCAATCTTTGCTTTTCCTCTTTCTTCGGCCCCTTAAGGGTTCTTGTGTCTTTTTGTTGTTCCTTTTTCCTGTTCTTTTTTTTTTGGGGCATGATGCTTCATCCTAAAGTGCGCCATGATATCTCTTGACGCATCTCCTGAGCGGCACTGCTGGGCATTTAGTGGAAAATCTCAAGTTCCAGACCAAAAGCTCGCTGTCAGTCAAAGCTCCCATAGTTCCTGTCTCGCCGCTGTCTCTGGGGAAACGTGAAGGGCATCTTGTCGTGTCTTTGTCCGTTTCTTCTTTCGTCGTTGTATGGGTGAGCTAATGTTAAGGCTAAAACCTACTTTTTGGCGCTTTTGTGGCTGCCTTGCAAGAACCCTTAGGGATACGTCGCCGCATCACCCAGACTGGCTGAGGGTGGGAGCATGGGAATACCACAGTTTGTCAACACCACGGGGCAACCTGGAGCTGATTGCTTTCCCGCCTCGGTGGTACCAAGGCAGCCAAAGAGTATGCTCGCAAAAGTGGCTGTCCTTTCCACCAGCTGCTTTGGGACAAGTTGTTGGAAGGACTGAATAGCAATGTTCGCTACTAGGAGCAAAGGGCATCGCTACTAGGAGCAAGGACGCTACTACTAGGAACAAGGATGCTACTAGAAACAAACATTCAATAGAATTAGAATGCCTGAATAGGACAAGTCCAAGTCCAACTCACTCCTTGGAGAGTGTCAAGACTCGATGAAAGAGCGGTATGCTGGCAATCCTGCGGGATCGCTTTTGATTGGCCTGGCCAAAGACATGTCGAACAGTTCGACACTGACTACTAACATCCCAAGCCTCCCATGCAGGCGTATCCTTTGGCCGTTGGTAATACAAGCTCCCTTGGCCAAATGAAAATTTTTGGTTTGATTAGGTCGCCTCACACTCTCCCACTCTGACTCTTGCACGTCTTCCATTGCACATGCATGTTAATTTAACTAAGAGCAGGTATTCAAGGAACATCAACCGATCATTCTTGTTTGCCAGCATTATTTATCTATGGGTTTTTTACTTGTGCATCCGCCTTCCTTCCTTCCTTCCGCTTGCACCCCGTTCACTCGTCCCGAGTGCTTTGGTGAGGCTGGTGTAAAGTGCGTTTGCGTGGCTCCGTGCCGTTGGGGGCACCGGAGACGCCCGCGCCCAACTCAACAAAACCCAACTGATCTCGCACCCTAGTGGCTTCTTGTTACTATTAGTAAGGCACTTGTTACGATAGCGTGGCACTTGTTCCTAGTAGCGTCCTTGTTACTAGTAGCAAGAATGCACTAGCAGTAATGCCAGGAGCTCCTAGTAGTAGCGTCCTTGCTCCTAGTAGCGATGCCCTTTGCTCCTAGTAGCTTCTTGATCCTCTTGTGAATGAAAGGATATCAAAGGAGTCTTGAGGATCTTGCTCCAACACAGGCCCAACGAAGTGTCTGTTCAGTGCTTTCTGCGAAACAACGGACAACAAGGCGAAACTTCATCTCATCGGGTCAGCGTTTTGGGCTCTCAAGATGTGTCCAGCAAGTTTGTTTCCCTTTTCGTGCCAACAACATCTCGCAGGCGACCAAGTCAGTTTAGATTCATTGTGTCCTGTTCCGATTGCATTGTCTCTCCTCTAAACTTAATTCATATAGGGCTTGTTCTGTGGGCAAGATGAGCGGTTGACAACGTTCCCAGGCCAAACAAAAATGACTGACTTAAGCATGCGCGACCAGCAGTTGGCATGATTGAAAACCACATGCATGCTCATGCTGGCAACCATCGCTGGCAACTTATTCTTTCACAATTGCGGAACATCACCAAATGCGGACCAGCAACCGCTTGTCGAGAAAAACATCCTCAGTTGCGCATGGAGCAATCCAACGAAAGGTATAGAAAGAGCTAATAAGTATGTGCATCAAACTGCTAGACTACAAAGAAGGCCTTCGGTCTTGGATATCACTGACCCATCCCTCACTAGAAGATTTAGAAGAGCAAAATGTCTTTATTACATCACTTGAGTTGGCAGTTCTTGCCTCGTCTTCCATTTCAACAAAGCCCGTAAAACTTGCCGGCTGAACTGGGTGCTGCTGAAGCTCATGTGGCACTCGCCATTCACCTGGAAAAGAACATCAGATCTCGAAAGATTCATCTTCTCCACAGCCTGCAATGGGACAGGTAATTCAGATGGTAATTCCATTGACATGGGCAATCTGCAATGAATCCAGCTTCGGCATGCCTTGAAGCATATTTGATTGATGGCCTCAGTTTCAACCATCAAACGCCTCTGCTGACAGTTCTTAAACTACACTCTATATAAGCCCAAGCTGGGGGCCGCATCGTTCTTGGCGTAGCGGACGAAGAAATTGCAAACAACCATGTGTGGCAAATACAACTCCTAAAAATAACACACAGCGAGTCTGAAGACCAGCGCTCTTTCAACTGCAAAATGCTCAGGAGCTGCCGATCATAGCATTGAGTTCTAATGTTAAGTTTCCCTGAAAATCTAGGAACCAAATCATTAGTGCGAGCGCTTCTTTAAGGAAGCTTCCCCCGCTGCCGTTACGGTGGTGGGGGGCAGCTTCCTTGAAGAAGCATGAGCTATCCTGCGTCCTGCCGATAGTAGCTACTTGCAGGTACTAGCGACTCCCAAGCTACTACCTCTTCTACTAGCTACCTACCTCTAGCTAACCTACCTCACCTCTACTCTACCCCCCTGGGTTTTTTCAAAAACGGTTCTCACTGCCGTCCTTCTGCAACTCCACGCGCAAGGGACCGCTGAGCATGTTCAAAGATTGCACGCGACTTTTGTCGATCTTCTTCCGGTTCACCTTTTCACGTTCGAATGGCGGTCGATCCTCTGTTACCTGGCCTTCGTCATGAAAGAAGCCTTACCATTCAAAGCGAAGAAGAACAGGTCATGAAAACAGGTCATTTATAGGTTATAAAGGGAGTCTGCACATCGTTTAAGCTGCAAGCATTAACATGCCTTACCATATGTGAGTTGAATTTTGACGCCTCTATGGCCATGTCAATGTAGCGAACTACTCTTGACCTGAGCTGCACAGCAATGCTGTGGATTGAGACAAGTACCAGAAGCGACGTACTCCTTGACCGAGGCGGGGGCTGCAGGTCTGCAGAGATGTGATTCTCCTTTAAGAACCTCAAACATGGACACATGTAAAGGCTTCCGAAAGGCTACTGAGAGGGCTCCCAAAGCTACAAAGAGGCATGTCCGCCACACGTTTCCCATACTTCCTCATCCTGCACATCTTCCTCCGCCAAGCAGCCTGCGCAAAAGAAAGGCCTCGGAGAGTTCATTGCCCTGCAGACTGCGCAGTCTGGTCATCGATGCGGTAATTGCACCTCATCATGGCACCATCATTAACAACACTTGGCAATCCTTGCACGAGTGACCAAGAATGACCAAACGTGGTGGCAGCACTAACAAAGGAGGAGAAGCCCACCATAGCAATCAATATAAGCAAAACCTCAGGGAACGAAGGTTCAACTGCAGTTGGCCTCCAACCTAATAGCGATGGTCTCTAGTAGCTGGTCCCGAAAATCTGAGTGCGAAAGCGTTGAATGCCCGTTCATATACATTGCGTGGATGCACTACTGTGCCTGTCACAAATGAGATGACAAATGACAGTGTCTTGATGAGACATCAAGAGAGCGTCAAGCCTGCCGGCGTGAACTGTGTCAAGGACCAATGAAGACTCCACATATACTGCTCCACCACATTTGCATCGAGAATTCGGTGGAAGTGAACCCAGTGATTATCTCCTGTCACCGATTTGAGGTGCACAGCAGGTGATTATCTCTCGTTTCACCTCCATCCCGCAAAACCGGCTCCTTCTCCTGTACTGCCAATCAAAAACCATAAGCAAGCGAACACGTGATTCACGAAAAGTAAGACCAGCCTCAGTCTGAGAATGTTATCCTGTTCGATAGTGTGGAATGTTTTTGTACACCACATGTTTGGAGCAAGAGCCGCCCTAGCGCTCGTGGTGTGAACCCACGTTGCGGCACAATACTGTAACGTGGATTAGGCATCGAGGAAGCTGCTATGACGAGCCTCATGCAGTGATAAGGCATTCCCACTTCAGCAGTAAGGTACAACCACTTCAGCAGTCAAACACTCCTGTACCCTTCACAAGCTGCGAGGCCGCACTACTTCACCTCACAACCACTTCACGTACCACTTCACCACCAGTAATACACGAACTCTCTTGTGAAGAGCGTAAAGCGATCAATGTGCCAAACAATAGAGAGAAATCTCTTGACTTACCTCCTGCGCAACGATACCGTGAATGTCAATATTTAGTCTTTTTCTTGATCGGACATTTGCTTTGATATCTATAATTAGTCGATATATTCTTTGCAAATCCCCCATGCCCGGCCAAGCCAGGGGATGTGGGGATGCGAGTCGCCACGTAGAACGTGACTTTCACCACTTGTGATGGCCTACCTACTTGCGATGGCCTCCAACCTAAGAGCGATGGCCATAGCGTTGGCCTCTAACCTACTGTAGGCCTGTAGGCACTAACCGTCAGTAACCTGCACCACCTGTAGACGCGCACCACTTCACCAGCAAAGACGCACGACTTCGCCACTTCACTACAGGGAGTGGCATCGTCTGTCGCCAGCTCTGTAGATGCCAACCAAGCAACAACAACAACAACAAAGGGTTTTCCTGCTGCTGGTGAATGAACGACTTCCAACAGTATGTCATATTTTTGTCAGAACTTGCCTGAACAGCCATCACATTGAGTCAAACACAGTCTATTGTGTTCCCAAATGTGTTAGTGTGCTTCTGACCTTTTTGCTTCTTTATTCCGGTGGATCTTTGAAACCCATTTGTTCAGGCTCCTGGCCTTACTACTAGGAGCAAGGATGCTACTGTTAGATTTGGGCAAAAAGGTTAAACCCGTCCGCTACAAATGTGAAGTCGTCACGGCTTTGCCATGATCCCAACCGACTAAGGCTCAGGTTCCACTGCGACCAAGCCCAGAAGCCCAAAAGTAAACGAACGACCAAGCACTACGTTTCCTGAAGGATGCCAAGAATGATTTTAAAAAAGGTGTTGCCTAAGGCCTACAAGCGCGCTTGCATCGACCGATCATCGTTTTGCCCAAATACTCTCATGAATGATGTCCCGGAAAAAACAACACTTTGCCAAGTTCTTGCGACAGCGACAAGTTCTTGACGGTGCCCACCAAAATGAAGACCACCTCCGAATCAATGCCTCAGCTGAGGCCGATGATCACAGTGTGATTTGGATGATCGCAGCTGAGGCGAGTTCGCTCTTGGATGGCGAAGAAAATGTGCCTGGAACGCTCACGGGCTCATGTCCGACAAGAACAAACCGTTGAAGTACAAGCAACCAAGGTGCACTTTCATTCCATGTCTGTGCAAAATCAACTAACAGCAGTCTTGTGAGTATTTGAGCCATGAGATGTCATGGGGGGTAAGGAATCTATACCAAGAGACATGGACACTCTCACAGCCTAAAACCTTTTGGTAGCAGCCCCTTGGGCACAATGGCCCGCCCCTGAGCCGACTTAGTAGTGGCGCGGCGGCGCGCCCCCTTTTGGCGCGAACCGGGCAATTGACCTCTCAGTTCAGCTGTTAGGAACACAACTCCTTATAGAGAACTTTGTTACTAGTAGCTTCTTGCTCCTAGTAGTAAGGCCAGGAGCCCCTAGTAGCGATGCCAGGAGCCCCTAGTAGCTTCTTGTTACTACCTTTTCTTCTTTAGTCCTTTTCTTATTTGTTCAATCATTTCTTCAGACCAGATTTCTTTTATTTATACCGGTTTGTCCATTTTGTTCAATGATTCTGTATTGTCTTTCTTAAGGCATGTTTTCTTTCTTAGCTTTTTAGACATTTTCATTATTCAAATGTTTTCATTCTTTCTTTGGACGCTTTTTACTTTGACCGTTTTCCCTTTTGTTTTCTTGATCTTCAAACTCTAGAGCTTCTTTATTCTTCAAACATCTTTTCTGTACTTTTCTCTATCCCTTGAACTTTTGCCTTAGACATTTTCATGATTTTCTCTCCTTCTCAGAAAACAGTAATATATGTTTTCTTTGGGTCTTTGTTCCTGTGGACCTGTTTTGGTTGAAACCGTTCTGTTTCTTCAGACCCCTCCCCTGTTTGCCGGGAAGTCTGCCGGCCTGATGCCAACTATCCGGCACGTTGGACAAATCACAGTCAATGTGAACACGGTTTTCAACGCACTGAAATCATGGCCTTGCACCTTGCAAGTGTTTCTGAGCAATGTGCCTGTGTGGCTATCAATGTGGATAACCAAAGGCGTTAAACACAACCCGTTCTACAATGTTCTACATGCTTTGCCGCTTTGTCCAACTCATAGTTACATCTTCATTTGGCTTCACTTTCAAACTTGGCCAGCCGGGTTCAAACAACACGATTGCCAGGGTGAAGGATCACGCAAAGCACATCAGAGCTCTCTGACTTTGAACGTGCTGTCCTGAACCAATTCCTCATCTGTCCCCACTCCGTTCGACCAAATGTGACTCATTACTCTAGGAAGGCGGTGGACTGTATGGGTTATTGTCTAGAGTTGGCACATTGTACACCCATGGTGTTTCCAGCTCGAAGCGGCTGGAAGAAGCAAGGGTGGCCCCTGTTGCCTTATTGGAACACAAAGCTTCTTATCGCGAATTTGGAAAGGCTGAGCTGCATGCATTGGTCTTTTAAATCAGGTATCAAGGAGGGTGCCGGTTTCGGTTTGTCGTGGGTGGAATTGATTTTGAGCTGTATGTATATTGTTATCTTCCAGGACCTTTGCTCCCTGGAGATGTTTGGAATGACATGGCGATGCATCTGCCATTGTCAATCGAGTGTTCTCGCTTGTCTCTGTCAATCGTGTTCTGCCTAATTACGTATGTGAAGAGAGCTGGTGCAGCATCCATGTACCAACAAGGCGCCGGCAGTCACTCAGGCCAAGCTTGTCATTTCAGGCTGAAACCACCGACACTATCCATACAGAGGGCTGCAAGCATCAAAAGCCTTGATCACATGGTTTCACTCAGTGTGTGGGTGCTACGCGGTACCCGTGACGGCCACCATCCGGAGAGAGTTGAAAGCCGGTGCTTTAGAGGCACGGTGTTGCAAATTGGTTTGACAAATGCCGATCGCATTCTTTTGTGCATGGCAACCCGCAGCATTCCTTGCTACCCTTGCCAGGAGGGCCCTCTCTCGCAGCCTCTGTGAAAACGGGGGGTGGAAGGAGTTCCTGCTACTAGCAGATTTTAGGCCACTTAGTGACTTAGGCTTGTGAGTTGGACACTAAGACGACTTGTCAGATGTCCCTCTGAGTCCACCGACCGCAGCTTCATAAGCCGTAGAAGTCTCAGAGTTCGAAGAATCCGTGCGACACGAATGACCTGCGCAAGGACCGGACAGGCGCAAGGACCCGCCTTGGACTACACAAAGACTGTCCATACAAAAGGACAGACCATCCATCGCTAGGTTGGAGGCCATCGCTCTGATAGTGTAGTCTTGGACATACTTGCACAAACCTTCTTCCACAACTGGCCTTTCCAAGGCGTGCCAACCCAGACCCTTCGGCATTTTCCATGGCATTGCCTTGAGCTTCTCCTGACCCCAAGTGAGCAACAAAAACACAAACAACTTCACCAGTCTGCAAAGAAGCAGGGCCGAACCAGCAAGAAAACCTAGCTTAGAGATCACTAGAGGCCAGGGAAATGCAGAAACATGCAGAAAGCCACAATCTTCGGTTTTCTCGTCCTAACGTGGCAGCCATGAATGTCCAGTCGACTGTCACAATGATGATATCCAATAGGAACCAGCGTTTCCTTGGGTGCGGTATATCCTTCAATACCAAACACACTCAAACGACAAAGATTTGACTGTCTACTCGACGTTCACATGAAGCAATTGTAACCATTCCTAGTGGCCACAAATGCAGCTATTGGCAAAAAGCTTGGCAACATGAAAGAAAACATACGCACCATGTTCGCACCATGTTTGTCGAGGATTGTCCACATGGATGGGCAATTTTCCGAACAATTTAATCACAGGAAGCTTCCAACATTTTGAAGAGATAATTCATAAGACAAGGCCTCCAACCTAATAGCAATGTCCTCCAACCTACTAGCGATGGGCCCCACCTAAGAACGATGGCCTCCATCAAAGGAAGCTTCAAACATTGTGATCATTCTTGATATTTCCGAGTTTTCTAGAGCAAGGGAACGTGCAAAATCCGCACGTCGGACCTCACCACATCACAAAACAACGTTGTGACCTGTGCCTGTGATCCTTTACCACATGACCCTCCACCATAGCAAATCACCACAGTACTCTTCACTGGATCCATCATTGCACAAATCAACCTTTGGCTATCTGCACCTTCCGCCCACTGAGATGATCAAACAAACGAGCCTTGAAGGCTTGAAAGTCACGGGGTCAAAGTGCCCCAAAACAATGAAAAGTTCTAGAAAGTGCACTTTCTGCTTTCTTTTTCTTCTCTTTCTCGTCTCAAGTGCCCCGCAGAAGCGGAGTTTCTCCAAGCGTCAAATAATGCCAAGCGATTTGCTTATGCGATCTCACCAGCTCTCCCTTGAGTCCATAGTAGGCAGTGAAGAAAGTGCCAATGATGTCCAGGGTCCAATAGGTGGCCACGGTGAAATCAATGGAATCTGCGAAAAGACTGGCTGGAGGTGTGAACGCTTGCCTTGAAGTCTCGGAACAGGCACCGAAAGAAGCTACCAAGGACGCTACTAGGGCCTTGGCCTAGGGGCTCCTGGCCGTACCAGTAGGAGCAAGTAGCTACTAGTAACAAGAAGCTAATCAATAGAATTTACATGTAAACAGAAACTAATAGGAATGGCCTCCAACCTAATAGCTCTCCAACCTACTAGCGACAGCCTCCAACCTAATAGCATTTTTTCCTGACCAAGGTGCATTGGAATCCAAATCCTGAGGTGCAAAACCAGGGCACAGCAGCCCCTGAATACGCTATGGCAAGTGGAACAAACAACTTAAGACTTACTCACAGCCAGTATTGAAAGTGCAGATCAGCTGCATGTCATACATGAGAAATAGCACGCCAAGGATATCCTGAGAGACACATCATGCACAAAATGCCGGGCAAGCGCCTTTGTTCTATGCACTCAGGGAGAGACATTCGCTTGAACATGATCATGGAACCATGTGCGTTTCCAGAAACATCCAAAAATAGAAGTGCAATCTGCGACTGGTGAGGTATTGATCTGAATGTCTCCAGCTCGAATTTGCGATTCCCAACTCTGGTTCCTTAAATTGACCCCCTTTTGCAATGCCTCGATTGATATCGACCCCTTTTTGCAGTCAAAATCAGTCAAATGCGATGGGGACAGTTGTTAGGCATCTAGGTTACCTACGCGGCAATCACATGGAACATGAGCAATGCTTGCCATAAACGCACGTGAGCAACTCGTCACTTCAGAAACATTACTATATATAATGTTTGGACGAGCTGTCATGCAGTTTGTAGAAAAGTGTTGCAAATTTGGTGACAATCCAGAAGTGGAGATTGAACAGTTTGTGTGTGCTTGTGTTTGCTGCCATGCATTGCATGCCATGCATGGCTGATTTGCTTGGATCTTTGAGTCATGACTTGCTTGTGTGCCTTGTTGGTCACTGTTCGAACTGTCCATAATTGAGGTCAGCCTATTGCTGGTGGTGGCTTCGGGGGCCCAAATGCGATGGGGTCAACACAGGTCAATCAAAATAGGGTTAATCAAAATAGGGTTTAGGGTATAGGGCATTGGTGTCCTGTGCTCCTAGTAGTAGCGATGCCAGGAGCCCCTAGTAGCGTCCTTGCTCCTAGAGGTGCTCATAAAGTGAACATATGTGACTTAATGAGTAGCTATAATGATGATAATGTGTGGAAAAGTGAATGTCATCCTATCTAAACCCGTCTTATCTGGGGTACCGTTTGCTGAACTGGTCTAGTTGGCTAATATTGCACAAGTTGCCTCTACTTGCAGCGTATAGGTGTTCGCGCGTGTCTGTGTCCTAAATATTTCAGAATGAGAGAAGGAGAAGCACAAAAAAGAGACAACACACAGTTTCCGCTCCTCGTTTATCGCCCCAAACTCGATCCTGGAAGCATATACAAAAAACATGTTAAGACCCAACAATCTTCAAATAGCTACTTAGTTGCTCCTCTTCTTAGTTGGTTTCTCTACCCTTCCTTGATTAATTTGTTTAACTACTAGCTTGCTTCTTCTCGTCTTATCTATTGAGCGTTTCTCTCTATCAGTCTTACCTGGTTCTTTTCTTTACTCTATTCTCAAAGGGCTTCTCTTGGTCAAGTGGCTTTCTATTTCTTGCAAAACTTTTTCTCAAGGCCAAAGGCGGACACTCCCCTGCTGAAACATAGGCTCTTCCTGTCTTGGCTTATTTGTACTATTCTCCAGTGGTTGGCTCCTCCTCGTACTTTGTTTTCTCCTGCTGACGCAATGGAACTACTTTCCTGTTTCTGTAACAAGCTCTTGGTTGTCTCAATTGGCTTCCCTCTTGTTAAACTAGTGTTTTGTTACTTCTTGCTAACCTATTTCTACTTGCAAAGATGTCCTTAGCATGTATCTAAGAGTCGGAAAC